TCTGCGATTTTTTTGCGTAACGTGTCAGTGAACTACGGCTATGTGTAGTAAATTCTGCTCCATCTGAAAGCACGTGAGGATGCTTTCCTGCTGATTACAGAACTGGCATTACTATCAAAATGCGCATAACAATAGCATTCGATTAATCGTGCAGCCCTAGTGGGGGGTCAGAGTAACAGTAAGAAATTTTCTTGTGCCATCCCCAAAGCAGTAGTTCACACAAAACTGAAAATTTGCTGAAAATCAGGCCATCCAAGATGTAGTGTTGTTTCTTCATCAGAACAGATTTGGATAAATTTAGCATTATATCAGTTGCTCAGCAGTGGATCCTCTGCAGTGAATGGGTGCCGTCAGAATGAGAGTCCAAACACTCTCACAGAAGTGATGATTTTTTACTCTAAACCATCACTTCTGGCCAAAATACAATTGTATAATCCATAATAATGCTGGCTATACTCAAAAAAATCCATCAAAAACCACCAACATATTTGTTTTGAACTGTTTTGTCAACGGTGCTTGATCTGTGCATATTTCTCTCCTGATTCAGACGAGACGACTTTTTCACTTCAGAAAGCAATATTATGGATAGGGGACTTTGATTTTAGATGAAAATTAAAAACATCTTAATGGATTTGTTTCTTACAAATGCACAACTTTTCACTTAAGACATTAACTGATGGACTGGAGTCATGTGGATCACTTGTGGATTATTGTGATGTTTTCATCAGCTGTTTGGACTCTCATTCTGACGGCACCCATTCCCCATTCACTATCCATTAGTGAGCAAGTGATCTAATGCTAAAAGTTCCCATTAAGGAACAAACTACATTTTACATTTTGTGAGGGTGAGAACTATTCCTTTAAGATGCTCTATATTAAGCGCGCAGAACAGTGATATTGCATACAGGTTTTGTCGAAAATATCATAAAGATATGCTAATGGCTTAACTGTCAAAATCAAGAAATTAATAAATAATCTTAAGGGGAACTTAATATCAATATAATTTATTTTTTGAATAATCAAAATATATTACAATTATGACTTACGTTATTTTTATATTTTAAACAATGAAATATCATGACTTCAATGACAAAATTAAAGCTTCTACACTATTACTGGGTCACCAATCAGATGTCTGCGACACTGATCATGAAACATGAATAT